TCTTTTTTTTTCTTTTTTTCTTCTTTTTTCTTTTTTTTTCTTTTTTTTTTTTTTCTTTTTCTTTTTTGTTTTCATACGATCGATCACAAGGAAAACGACAGATCCCAGAGAAAGGCTGAGCCAAAGGGATGTCCAACCTATTTTCTTGCCTTTTTACCGTCCATTTACTCTCTTCGATCGGACGAAGGATAAAAGGAAAAAGGCTCAAGGAGAAAGATGGAAAGTAAGAGAGAGATAGAGAGAGAGAGAGAGAGAGAGAGAGAGAGAGAGATAAAGCAAGGTAGAGAAAGAGAGAGAAAGGGAGATAAAGATAGAGATTGTGTATGCGTATGACAGAAAGAAAAGAAGATAAGGGATGAGGGAGGAAGGAATTTTATTTTTCAACAACGAGAGTGGTGGTGAACGGTGTTGGTGGTGGTGGTGGTAGTGGTGTTGTTGTTGTTGTTGGTGGGCTGCGTCCTGAACTGCTAATCACTCGCGATTCATGTATACTCCGATCGCCAACCGGTCTGTGAAAAAAACAAAGGAGAGAAAATTCTTTTTTTTTTTCTTACTTTCTTTTTTTTTTCTTTTTTTCGAAAAACCTCGACGAATAAAAAAAAATCGTCTGTCCATCGTTTTACTCGATATGAGAAAAATGAAAAACGTAAATTGAATTTCGTTTCGACGACGATAATTGAGTGTGGACGTTGTTGCGGGGCAAAGAGATAGTAAGGAAAAAATAAGAGAAACAAAAGAGAAATTTGGGGCGAGAGTTATGGGTGAAGGACATGGGAGGAGGGGGGAAAAAGAATCCCCAAAGGAAAGAAAAGAAAATATTACGAATGTTCTATTCGATAAACATCCTCTCACCATCGCGTTCGTCGTGGCGGCCAACTGAAGACCCTGAAGACTCGTCATGTGATGAGAATGGGAATGCGAGTGCGAGTGGGGGTGGATGGGGGGCGGCGCCGGTGGCGCAAATCCTTGATGAAGACCTCCGGCCACGCCGACGCCCGTGTGGTACATGTAATGTTGCATCGCCGGATGCATCGTGTGATGATGCTGCGACGTACCTGCAACGATCAACGATCGAGATCCATCTTTTTCTTTTGAACATTTTTTTTTCATTTTTTCCCTCCAATCGATCTTCCTCGTATTTTCTTATCTTTTTCTCTCTGCTTTTTTTTTCTTTTTTCTTTTTTTCCTCTCCCTCGACTCGAAAAAGATTTCTCAACTTACCCATCGGTGATCCAAATCCTGAATGGAAAGGTTTGTTGTCAAGGTCGAGATGTCCGCTAGCCTTGATCATGTCACCCATGACACCACCAAGACCAAGACATCCACCTGCCTTCTTCTTCTTACTCTTTGACGACAGTTTTCGATTTCTCGTTTGTATTCCTTCTTTCTTCATTGTCAATGGCCGATTCACCTGCAACAGTCATAGCCAACAATTCGTTAAGTCGACCCAGTCGATAAAACTAACGCGACAACGAAGCGTTTCTTTTTTTCTTTTTTCTTTTTTCTTTCTTTTTTTTTCTTTTTTTTTTTTTGGATTTATAAGGGAACCACCGAGTTTGGGGGAAATAGCTTAAAGGTTATCAAGTAAGCGCGGGGAGGTGAGGATGGGCGGAGACGACGGCGAGACGTGATAGGGAAGGGAGGAGGGGAGGGTACACGTATAGTATATAAAAAAATTTTTTTGTCGGCTCTCTCGTCGCTTTCCTCCAGACACAACGTAATTAAGAAATCCCTCAGATTCTCGGTAGTCTGTGCACTTAACGAATCGACGGGTTCTGTCTTTAGAGAGCGAGAGAGAAAGGAGAGAGTAATTGAAGATACTACGTCACCGTCGCCGCTTTTATACCAACTAGTTAAAAGAGTGAAAAAAAAAAAAGAGAGAGAGAGAGAAAAGAGATAAAGAAATTATTTGCTTCTATTAATCGCGATCGTTCAATGACATATATTAATTTCTTCAAAAATTCGATTTTGATCACGTTATGTCATTTAATGAGTTTTTCAAGGACGCACCGAATGATCTACGAAATGTATCCGAGAAATAAAATAAAATCGTTTCAACGATAAAAATAATTCGATGTCATCGCGATAATCCTTTGAAAGCTCTCGCGGAAAATCGCTATGCCGTTGATGATGCATATCGTAAATATTATTCAACCGAAGAAGAGAGAGAGAGAGAGAGAGAGAGAGATATAAAGAGAGAGATAGAGAAAAGCGTGCGTGAAAGGCCGGACGATCGTGCATGGCCTAACGTTCCTTTATTAATCCTTTGTCTATAATGCCGACACAAGTTCGCGACTCGAATTTGTAGGCGATGGAAGAGAGAGAGAGAGAGAGAGAGAGAGAGAGAGATAGAGGCAAGCGCGTGCCTATCCATCTCGAAGGGACTAAAGTGCAATTCACACTCTTAGATTTTGTGCAAAAGAAAATGATTATATCGATCGTTTAATCGATCATCCAGAATGATATTTAACAAAGAGAAATATTTTCGTGGGATTATATCGTTTACATTATTATCATCGTGTTTTATAATTTAACGATAATATCATAAGAAAGACGTAAGAAAAAATTATCAAGAGCGATTAAATGTGATTCGAAATATTTAATAAAAGATATAATCGTTTATCGATACAAAGTACTTATTGATTTAAGATGAAATATATTTAAAAACTTTTCAAAGTTTAAAAGAAATTTCTTGATCTTGTTACCTAACTTCTTTTTAGAGCGTTGTATATACCAAGTGAGCAAAGCTTAAAGTTCTTAACCGCATCAAGAAGTCCCTCGTGGTAGCATGCGCGTGTGCGGTCTGTGCTAGTCCAAGTGAGTGCCGCAAGTACGAAATAAGTAGGTATGCAAGTATTGCTCGCTGCATCGAGGAGGAGGAAGGGAGGAGGACGAAGAGAAGGAGGATGAGGATGACAAGGAGGGAAGAGGCAAGGTGGAGTCATGCTTTGTAGTTGCCGCGACGTGACGCAACTGCCAACGCGGGGGAGAGATTCTGTGGAAGAGGAGAAGAGAGAAGAAGGACTGAGGCTAACTCAGAACGGACAGAGAAAAGAGAGATAGATAGACGGAGAGAGAGAGAGAGAGAGGAAGCAAAAGTATAGGTGGCAGTGTGGTCGCCGTTGTTTTTCGTGGCTCCAGACCAGACCTCCCCAACCCTTTTACAAGCAACGTCCAGACGGTCAACGGACTCTTTTCGTTGGAATTACGCAATTGTCCGAATTTGCCGAATTAGCGGCGTTCTCTTCGAAATAATTACGCGCGGACTGGATTGAAACGGATGCAGAACGGTGAAAGAGAGGAGGGGGATTTCTTCCGAAACGAATTCCGCTGGATGAAAGATAGAGAGAGAGAGAGAGAGAGAGAGAGATTTTTTCATCTCTCAAGAAATGATTAAAATTTGCGATAGATTTTAAATAAGACATCGACTCGCGATATAAATCGTTCTCATTACATTGTAAGTATACGAGAGACTCGTATAATTTCAAGTACGGTAGCGAGTGATGCGATTTTGAGGGAGTCGTCTAACGAGCGAAGAGAGGAATAAGAGGAGGTGGGGAAGTGGAGGTGGAGGTGGAGGTGGTGAGACACAAAAGCTCGAACCAATTTGAATACAATACCGGCGGCTTTAATAGGAACCATCCGCTTAAGTCTGCGGGTGTCCGAAAGTGCGAGGTGCAAACAAAAGAGGAAAGGAGAGACGGAAGACTTGATAGAAAAAGACGCAGAGAGAGAGAAAGAGAGAGAGAGAGAGAGAGAGAGAGACTTGGAAATTCGAATGCAGATTGATGTGGTCGCACACGATGCAACTGTACGCCGCTTGCATACGTGATGACCTCAGCGCGAAGATCTCAGGAGGGGTCAATGAATGAAAGATCGAATCGCGGAAAAGCGAGCGTCTGTTGGCCACGCCTCGCGATCGACATCCTTCTTTTCATCCGGAAGAAATTTCAGATTGACTTTCCTCAAAGGAGAAACACAAGCACAAATTTCGAATCATTACGATCAAATTTTATTCCCATTCGAATTATTATTTCTCATCTTTGAAAAATTGTCAGATTAATTTTCTTCTCGGATAGCTATATTAAAGATTGATTTTTCAAAGAAGAAGAAGAAGAGGGGAAAAAAAAAGGAAAAGATAAAAAGAGAAGAGAATGTAACAAAAGGTGGTGTCAATGCAAACGTAAATACGAACGGCAACGAATTTTATCGCGCAATTCGATTTTATGTTTGATACGTGACCGTCGATGATTTCTCACGGGTTATCGGTATACATCGATGTCGGATATGTTGATTCTATTTCGAGGAAGGCAAATTCGAAGAAGAAAGTCAGGGACGAATGATATTTCCACGAGAAAAATCGAACGAAAGTTCTTTCGGAAGTGTTTCCAAGGATCGCGTGTATGGAATGTCTCGCGCCTATATACGACAGTTCGTTTCGAGCATATCAATGGGGCAAACCATACGATTGGTTGCATCCTCTTCTTCGTAAAAGTGAGTTTACAACTTCCTCGGAACTTAAGAAGTTCTTTCGACGAATAATATTTTGACGGACTAAAATGAGAAGTTTCACGATTGAAACCTTTAATGTACCGAATTTTAACTCTGATTTTAACGACTCGAGCGTGCTCTGTTTCTCAATTGAGCGTGAGTAATGTAAAAGAGAGAGAGAGAGAGAGAGAGAGGGTGAAAGGTTGGTTTCTTCAAAGGGTACACACAAAGAGGATTTCTAAAATTAGTCTTATCGGTCGATCGACGCGACGACGATTATATTTATCCGAAAATTGTCGCGTTGCGTGCTTAAGAGGACTTCAACTTCGTCAAGTTGTCTGTCTGTTTCACTTTCTCTCTCTCTCTCTCTCTCTCTCTCTCTCTCTCTCTCTCTCTTTCCCTTTCTCCTTTTTTTCTCCTTCTTTATCATAGTATAACATTAAAAGAACAACTGAACAGGATAGAAGAAAAAAAAAAAGAAAAGAACAAAAAGGTAAAAGAAATCGAAGGGATTTTTGGTATGACCTGTTTGACCTCGCACACTGTACAGTATCCACAATCGAGAGAGAGAGAGAGAGAGAGAGAGAGAGAGGGGGGGAGGAAGAAAGAGTCAGAGTTCGGATTTCGGGAGACGATTAGCATATTTCGAACACCCGGTAGCGTGCTGTTCGGCCACGAATAATCCGTGTATTTTCGACACGCGTTGTACGCGCGAGTGTGAGTTTAGCCACGGACGTTATCAGGATGCTCTATCTTAACGATGCCAGATCTGTCCTTCTTCCTCTTTCTATGTCCCTCCACCTACTCTACGAGTATTGGTTATCTAAGATCTCGCGAGACAAGCACGAGGATACATGCTCTTTCTCTCCCTTTCGCCCTTTCTTTCTTTCTCTTTCTCTTTTGCTTGATGTGTACTGCCAGGTCTGGAAAGAAAAGGGCCAGTCGGAGATCTACTCTGAAAATGATCGATCGAAATCGAGAGAGAGAGAGAGAGAGAGAAAGAGAGAGAGAGATAGATAGATAGATAGAAAGATAGAATAAGAGTATATTTTTTATCTCTTCTTTTTCTTCTTTTTATCTTTCTTTCTTTCTTTCTTTCTTTCTTTCCTTCTTTCTTTCTTTCTTTCTTTCTTTCTTTCTTTCTTTCAACTCTCGATGATTTCTTTTCGCATTGCATAAATACCATAGAGCAATGGTTAACGAGTTGTATAAAACGAGAAAAAGATTTTCAAAGATTTGATCGTGCGAATTTATTGTTTCCTTTGGCGATAACCCGTCACGCGAATTTGCGTGTTTTTCTCAAATGGAAATATCTGTGTACGAATGATTTATTATTACGAGACGGTATTTCGAATGAGAATGACAAATTTCTTTGTTAGGCTCGATCCACGTTTTTTTTTTTTTTTTCTTTTTTTTTTTTAGGTATTATGCGTTTCCTTGAAAATTGTAGGATCGTCCCTCTTTGTTTTTCTTCTTTCTTTTTCCTTTCTTTCCGTCCTAAAGAAAAAAAACAACGATTGGACGGTTTTTTGTCTAACTTCTTTTTTTTAATAATTTCTACGCGATGTCTCGTCTGAGAATAATAATGATCGAATAAAAAATAATATAACAAAAATGTAAAACTAGGATGAAAAAATAGACGACGACTAGATAGGGTGAAAGAGAAAGATCGATATAGGAAAAGGAATTCTTTTCGATTCGAACTCGAGACCGTAATCCGTCGGCTTAACGTCAACGAAACTCTTCTCTCCATGTCACGGTGGGATCATATACATAGATCCACGCATAGCATGGATATATGTGGAGAAGAACTTTAATACGTTAAGAGAAGAACTACGTTCCGCATTCCGCGTTCTTTTATAAAAGGAAAAGAAAAAAAAGAGAGAGAAAAAAAAAAAAAGAAAAAAAAAAAAGAAAAAAAAGAAAAAAGAAAAACATCCTCGAGACTGTTCCCCTTCTCCTTCCCCGCCTTCCCGTATAAAACCAGATTCGACGATGTAAATTTTCATTTGTATAAATCGATACGAATGAGGAGTGTGCAAGTGAGAACGACGAATAAAGAATAAAGAAAAATATATCTCGAATTTTGTTTTATAAAACGAACGATGATACACAATAAAATAAAAAATTATCGCTTGAGAAATCGATAAAAACGAGAGAGAGAGAGAGAGAGTAAAATTAAATCATAGACATAGAATTAATACGAGATGAAACGAGAGAATAATATTTGAAATTTATTTCGATGAAATGACAATAAAGGGATCTTATAAAACTTTGTATTAAATGCAAATTAATAATCGATAAATCGATATTAAGAGTATATGGAAGTGAGACGTTGGAATATATAGGATCACGAAAGAGAAATACGGGGGAGAGGAGACATATCCTGAATTTATTCCTTCTAGGAAAGCGCGACTCTTCGTGGTGTTTAGCGACGGAAGAAGGGAAGCTCTTCGCTTAATTAATGATTACCAGGAAACGTGTTCGCTTTATGCGCGACGCGCCGGCAATGGCCGAGTATCGTCTCCTCTCTTCTACCTCCTTCTTCTCTTAACCACCCCCCTCCTCCCCTTTTACCCTTTCTCCTCCCTTAAAGATCGAACCTGATAAAAGCGGGATAGAATAGAAGAAAAAGAAGAGAGAAGAACCAAGAGTTCGTTCCTCCTCCACGAATTTACGTCGTAAACATTTTCTCTTTTTTTCCTCCCGCGCCCCCTCCCCGATTTTTCTTTTTCTCCTTTGGCAAAGTACTAGCCCCGAGTATTTTCGTACGAAATAATCTTTGATCATCACAGAGATGCAATTGCAACTTGTACTTAAAATAGTTTTCCCATGTTGTCTCTCTCTTTCTCTCTTTCTCTTCTCGATTCTCTATCAAGATGAGATTAAGTGACCGATAAGAGAGAGAGAAAGAGAGAGAGAGAGAGAGAGAGAGAAAGGGCACGTAAATTCGGATCACTCGTGGTTCTCATTGAAAGAGAAAGAAAGAAAGAGAGAGAGAGAGGGAGAGTTGTAGTGCATTTGAGTGCATAAGACGAAGAAGTTGGTACACAGCGAGGAGCCTTGTTCCTTTTCCTCTGCTAACGCTGACGAGAAAACAGAAAGCTCACTGTAATATGAGAGAGAGAGAGAGAGAGAGAGAGAGAGAGAGAGAGAGAGAGAGAGAAGTGACGAATATTCTATGCCATGGTGAAATCAGGAGCCAATTAGCGCGTACCGCGAATGAATCTTATGTATCACCCTCCATCTTTTCGTCTTTCTTGCACTAGTTCGAGATATTGAGAGTCCTATACATATCTTTTTATGCTTTTTTCTTTATCTTTTTTTTTCCTTCTTTTTCTTTTTTCGAAATCTCAAATGAAATCGAATCGAAATATCGAAACTTAAACTAAACTTCTATCGGGGATACTCGTTTCCGCTTCCTCGTAGAAACTTTTCTAATCGTATCTCCGATCTCTTTAGAGAACATTGAAGAATAAACGAACTAAGGGCCTCGCGTAATGGATATTCTAGTTTAGGTATACCTATATCTTCTTTATTTCTTTTTCTCTCTCTTTTTTTTTTTTTTAGTACTTCTTGGACCGCGTGTCACTCGATACAAAGTTTCTCAAAAGCAAAGAAGCACCGACAAAGACGGTGATCCCCGTTTGTGGGTCCTATCGAGATATATACGTGTGTATATATATATATATACATACGCGTTTACAATGCGAAAGCTTTCTCAACCTAGTCTTTACTTATTCGAGTATCGAATTGCAATTGTTGCCAACGATTTTCTACAAATTTCTAAGTTCCTCGACCGCTTGGGATCTTTTAGGAACAAATTGACCATGTCCATGTAGAAATTTGTCTCTCTTTCTCTATCTCTTTTTCTCCTTATTTCAGTTCTTCGTCGCACCCTTTCCTTTCCTTTTATGTATATATATATATATATGTATCTACACACATATTCTTTTTTGTTTTCGTCGAGCCCACGACACTCACTTCCGGCACTTCCTGTGTCACACGCCGTTGAACACGCTCGAAGCAGCACCAACCCTCGAGAGCAACTACTCTTGTAACGACACCCTACACGTCCGGCTAACCAGAAAAGTAGCTATCCTAATTGTTGATACAACAGAGTACGAGATTTACTCCTGTCGTAGGATTAATGTTTCCCGAACGGGGAGAGATCTTGCAATTCTCTTTCTCTTCTTTTTTTTTTTTTATTTTGTTTTTATGCGTTTTTTTATCTTTTTCGTCCTCGTCCTTTTCTTTCTCTTCGTTCTTTTTTTTTCTTTTTTTCTTTTTTCTTTTTTTTATTTTTCCATTTCTCGTCAAACTTTGCCGTCAACTTTCTTTCGCTCGTGAAACGGAAATCGAACTGTTTGTTATTCGATCTAGAGTTATCGATACGATATACTCGGTATATCAGTAAAAGTACTTACATTGTGAAGCTTGTAGTAGAGACCGCAAGCGTTGCAAACTGGCTCACCGGCTTGATTCCTTCGCCAAAGCGTCGTAGTTGCGGTTTTGCAGTTCGCGCAGCTGGTGCCCGCCCGTCTCGCCGCACTCTGCAGCGACAGTTTTTGGAAAAGAGAACAGAGAGATATCACACCCGTAACCAACGACAATGTCAACTAAAAAAATCTATACGGTTATACATTTATCACGTTGACACTCTTCTACGAATAACAGTTTTCAATCGATATATACACATATATATTTGTATTTGTGCATGCCTTTTATTTTATTCCGTGAACAACATTTCACGATGTAAAAATAAATTATTTATATGTAGATAGATGTATACAAAATGGACAACGTGTTAAATACGACGATTAAATGGCAAGAACGTTTGAAAGAAAGAGAAAAAGAAAAAGGAAAAGAAAGGGGGGAAAAAAAAGAAAGAAAAAAAAAAGTTGTCAATTATTATGATTATTAATGGTCAAGACATTTGAAAGGTTTCTTCTTCGATCATTTCAAAATCGAGACACGTTCGATCGATCCCTTTCTCCTTTTCTCTCTCTCTCTCTCTCTCTCTATCTCTCTCTCTCTTTCTCTTTCTTTCTTTCTGTCTCTCTCTCTCTCTCTCTCTCTCTCTCTTTCTCTTGAAGGATCAAGAAGGCAAGTCTGACACGGGTTCGCGTGAAATCGGTCTTTCTTAATCCTTATTTCAAATACCGCGAGAGTCGAACGGATCTCGAAAAGAAGAAGAAGAAGAAGAAGAAGAAGAAGAAGAAGAAGAAGAAGAAGAAGAAGAAGAAGAAGATGGGTGTCCCTTTTCTCGTGAGTGCTGCCCGCAGAAACTACGTCTGTCCTTCTTCTTTCTCCTAATACCTATGACACACGGAGTAAAAGAGAGAAAGAGAGAAAGAGAGAAAGAGAAAGAGAGAGTAAGAGTAAGGTAGAGAAAAGTAGATGGAAGACGTCTTCCGCACCTGTGATCCTCCGTCACCGAGTGGCAAACGCCTAAAGAAAAAGGAGGAGAACGAGGAGGAGGAGGAGGAGGAGGAGGGAGGATCCATTATACGTCCTTCTAAAACCGACCGCGGCTTATTTCACACGCTCCTACATCCCGTATAATATACTAATAGGATGGATCGAGTGTGTAGTATAACCTCTTGCTTGCTACGTATTATGCTACCCTCGTCTCTCATCTTTACCTATAACCTTCTTTCTTCACCAAGGCAAACGTCAAAATCCGAGAAAGGAAAAGATGACGCCTCGAGTGGTATCAATCGAAAAGGTTAAAGAGAAAAATCGATATTGTTTCAATAAGATTGAAAATCCGTGTATGCGGTATATTACTTCGGCGGGGGGAAGGGGAGGAGGGAGTAAAAAAAAATAAAAAAAAAAAAAAGAAATAAACTCTCGATCACGTAGAATAATGGAGAGCGAAGCCAATTTGTGTTAAAAATTATTCTCAAATCTTCCCTTTTCCTCCATCCCTCTCCCCGTCGAGCTATTGTCTCGAGGTACCTCTACCTATCATCAACGCAACAACACACTGGTTCCTACAACAACACCGAGAAGTTTCCGCTGTTGTCCCACACTTCTATGTATTTCGTATAACAACACCCCACTGTATATATCTCCAAGGCCCCTTTTACTTACCCTCCTGAACCACTTAACCCCCCATCTCGCGCGCGCTCTCTCTCTCTCTCTCTCTCTTTCTCTTTTCGAGATGACACTGCTTTTACAAGAAAAAAAGAAAAAAAAAAGAGAGAAGAGAGAGGGGGAAAAAGGATAGAGAGGACACATTTTCTTTATGAATGACTGAACGGTATTGTCGTTTTTGAATACTACTTCGGGGTGCAAGGAGTGGTAGGATCTAATGGGACATCCGACCAATTGTGATTTCTTTGAACATAATAGCAACGTTTTAGGTACCAAGAAACATCGAAACTATCAGCGTAGCTACCGTATCTTGTCTTCGATCATACGGAAAAGAAACATTCTTCTTTTTTTTTTTTTCTTTCTTTTCTTTTTCTTTTCGTCAACGTTATTTAGGTATACCACTCGAGAAAACTATAGGATCTATAGTAGTTAGTTTACTATGGGACCTCCCCAGTGTATAAGTCCCAAAACTCGAGCTTTGTAAGAGAAACGAAAACGTTAATCGATGTCGTTGAAAGCAAAAGAGAGATAGAGAGAGAAAGAGAGAAAGAGAGAGTGAGAGAGAGAGAGAGAGGGGGGGGAAAAGAGAACGTTGTTTACCCTGCTTAAGGAGAGGATACGTGTAAGGGTCAGAAAGCATGGCTCGATGGGGGTGCTCTGTCGTGAGAAGGTGGAGAAGTAGGAGAGGAGTGTAAAGGGGAGGTAGTTCAGAGGGATGGAGTGGGGGTTGGACGGTTCGGTGCGGTGTGTAATCATGCCTTATCTGCAGGATCTTATCGAGGCTAGCGCGCGTAGTAAAAGGGGTCTGCAGGGTGCTTCGTAGTAGTTCTCCAGGCTTGGTAAAACCCCGTTCCGCATGGCGGAATCAATACGCGGAGAGCCACCTCATCAATATAGCGGCTTCTTATCTGCTCTAGATCTTCGACACCCCGCCTCCCTTTTCTACTTGCTAGCTACTTCTCGATGAAAATCGTTCCACCCTGGCCCAAAGGCTTCTTCGCCTCTACCTAATGGTTATTAAACGAGAAAGTGAAAGAGAGAGAGAGAGAGAAAAAGAGAGAACTTTCTCACCGTGCTCGGACTCGTTAGTAAATGAAAAAAAGAAAGGAAAAAAAAAGGAAAGAGAGAAAAAAAGAAAGAAAGAAGAAAAAAGAGAATTCCATGAGAATGAACTTTTGTAACGAGAGAGAGGAAAAAAATGAAAATATATGACATTGTCGATTGTCATTTAAGAAATCTTACTTTGACCTTGTCGAATAGATCGATATAAAATCCAAATGGTCGAAGAAAAAAAAGAAGAAGAAGAAGAAGAAGAAGAAGAAGAAGAAAAAATTGATTTTCAGAGGGTCGAAGCAATGGCAAACGAACGAATCAACGATCAACTGGGCCAACGTGTACGCATTGTTGCTCGATTAAATCTCCTTCCAGTGCTAACCAGCTCATATAATCGCGTAGCGAGTCAGTTTCTCTCTCTCTCTCCATCTATCTATCTATATATCTATCTCTATCTCTATACGTTCCACTCGTATACGAGTTTCTCGTTCTCGCACATACTTTTTCACCTTCTCTCGGCCATTGCGTCGGGATTCGAAGTCTCTGATCGAAGCTCTTTCTCTCTCTCTCTCTCTCTCTCTCTCTCTATCTCTATCTCTCTCTGTCTCCTTTTTGGTTTGGCCCTCCCCGAAGGGAGGACTCTACTCTTTGTGGGACAATACTTGCTCATCCTCGAAGACGGGCGTGCGCACACGCGTTCTCCTTTCAAACCGGTTGCCCCTCCAGAAGGAGCCGGAGACCCCTCGACACTGACGGATATGACATTTCTGAAGTTCGCAGCTATCTCTCTCTTTCTCTCTTTCTTTTCTACTTCTCTGACTCTGAAACGACGCTAGAGTGCCGACTACAGTCGTACTATCTCTCTCTCTCTCTCTCTCTCTCTCTCTCTCTCTCTCTCTTTCTCTCGTGACTCGCGTTGCTCTTTCTTCCTTTTATTCCTATCTGGACCACGTCAGTTTCTTTCTCTTTCTCTCTCTCTCTCTCTCTCTCTCTCTTCTCCTTTCTCCTTCTCCTTCTTCATCCTGCGCCGGTTCGAACGTTTCGCGTGTACATTTTATTTTACTTCATCCGCGCTCGATGTATAAACTCGCTTCCAACTCGTACGTTGAGAGTAGGAGGCAGAAGGGATTTCTTCGGTGATCTGCTGCTTTTATTTCCTGTCGGTCTTCTTGCTCCGCGAACCGTTCCGAACTCTCTATACGCGCGGTTCCCTTTCACGTGCTGCTTCTGCTCTTGCTGCTTCTACTCCTCCCTTCTTCTTCTTCTTCTTCTTCTTCTTCTTCTTCTTCTTCTTCTTCTCCTCCTCCTCCACTCCCTCTTTCTCTCTTTCTTCCTCCTTCTCCTCCTCCTCCTTGATTTTGCTCGATCCATCCACCATCGGATGGTGGACGAAAAGAGTGGAAGTAGTCTACCTCTTGTCATTCTTCAAATTGAAAACTGGATTATCAAGTCGGGTTTTTCTTTTTTCTTATTTTTCGAAATGTGTCCATTTGAGAAAGAGGGGGAGAGATAGAGAGAGAGTGAGAGAGGGGGAGAGAAAGACAGAGAAAGACAGAGAGAGAGAAATAAATATTTGAAACGAACAAATGTTAATTCATAATGATAATAAAATTAAAAGATTAATAAGAAACAACGTAAGGAATTAATTATTAAAGAATGAAAAACTAACCATTCGTTATAACTAAACATTCATACGTCATTTCTATTATTTCTTTTGATAATTCTTACAATGAAAGAAAGGAGAAAAGGAAGAAAGAAAGAAAGAAAGAAAGAAAGAAAGAGAAAGATTAATAAACGGCAGTCTCGTATTACGTAAAAGTACCGTCGAGCACATTGGATAAGCGATTAATCGGCGATTATAATCCAGCAGGAGAGCCCGTTCAAGTTCGTATGACTCAAAGCGAGAGAGTATGGATATGAGATGAAATAAAACGAAACAGGTTCATAAACAACAAGTACGATTGCACATTCCTTATTCGTACGAATACGCGAGCCATACGAACAAACATATACAAATTAGAATTATCGTTGAATTTCTCGAGGAAATATGGTACGAAGGTGGAGAAAGAAAAAAGGAAAAAGGAAAAAGAAAGAAAAAGAAGAGAAAGAAAAAGAAAATCTCAATTCTGAACCTTTCTTTTTTTCTTTTTTTTTCTTTTTCGGAAATATGAGCAAACACGAGGAATTAAATATTGAATCGATTGAAATTAATTAGAAAAGTTTCTAAATTCGATTTTAATGATATTGAAATACTCATTTATTGCGAATTTGTCAAAGCAACGTTTGTCATTATATTTCCGAGAACTCGTGTTTGTCTTCAATACATAGTTGTCTATTTCTATTTCTTCTTAGTAACCTGCCACGGAATATAAGTGGAGGTGGAGAAGGAGGAGGTGGTGAAGAAGAAGAA